GGGGCCGGGGAGGGCTGGGGTGGGAGGGGGGTGGGAGGGTGTCCCTGTGCTCATGGAGCCGGCGGAGCGGGCTGGAGGCGGGGACCCCCCGGAGCCAGGCGGGCGTCCCGGGCTGGGCCCGCGGGCGTTTGTTCACACAGAAGTGACAGTACAACAAGCTGCTACCCTACGCCGAGCGGCTGGACGCCGAGTCCGACTTGCAGCTGGCCCAGATCAAAAGCAACCTGGGCCGGGCCGTGCAGCTGCAAGAGCTGTGGCCCGGGGGCCTCTTCTGGACCAGGAAACTCTCCACGTAAGTGTGCCCGGGCTCGCGGGACAGGCCGGCGGCCAAGGCTCAGTAGGAGGGCGTCGAGGGAGGTGGCTCTTTGTCCGGAAGGCTGGACTCTCTGATCTGCCCTGGGTCGCGACAGAAGCCTGTGCAACACTCAAGCCTTCTTTCTGCCACTTTGCTATCAGACCGGCCCTGCACGCCCTTCCCAGCCTTTTCTCCCCTAGCGCTCGGGTTGTTTTCTCCCGACCTGCGGGGCCCTGGGGATCCGGAGGGCCCCGGGCGGCGGGAGAGAACTGAGCAGTCCCCAAGGGTCCTCCGTGGACCTTGGCGCGTGAGGGAGGCGGGGCACAGAGGGTTCGTCTTTCGGGGAGGAACTTTCGACTTGTCCCGGTGCTTCCTCCGGTTCTTCCCCTGCGATCGCCCGCCTCTTCGCATCTCTCGGTTCGCGTCTCGTAACTTTCTGAATGGGAAGAAAGCCACAGGGAAACTTCTGGGTTCTGCTTTTTTGGGCCCGCTCAGTCGTTATGAATTTAGTTGAAAAGATTGGCTTTGACTCGACCTCTAGCACATTCTCGACTTGTAGATGAGACGTTAATGTTGAGAATGTTGTCTTAGAACCTGAAGAAAGTGTATGTTGCTCCTGTTGTGACATTTCCTTGGGAGAGAGACCTTTGCGACACTAAGGGAATAGGGAAGAGCGCTGTCAGCTTATTCTGGGCGTTATTAGTATCAGGCTTGTGTTAATTTTTGATCGTTCAAACAAAAATAGGTTCCCCAAGTCCGTTTCAGCAGTTCTGTTTTTCTGTACAAACTAGCTGCAAACTACAGTGTTTGAAACGAGAAAACAAGTGAAAAAGTGGGGAGGAAAAAAGATCAGAGATGGGCATCTTCACTATGTGAGAAGAACTTTTCAAAAAAGAATTTTGCTGTGTCTTGTTTGGTTAACAGTACATACAATCTGGTAACATTGTATGTTCATGCATGTGGGTATGGTTGGGTAAACACACAAGATGTATGTCCCTTATTCAGTGTTTACCCAAATCTGCTGAGTGAACTGGGTGATGACTCAGGGTTTTGTAATGCAATAGTCTTCTATATTTCCTCACAGGATGATTCTTTATATTTTCTCAGAGGGTGATACTTCAGTGCCAATTAATATTAGGGTGCCTCTGACAAATTTCTCATTGCCCCTTGGAAAGGGGGAGGCTTAGTGGCAGTAATTACCTTTTTAGTTGAGAAGAAATAAAACGAAAACAATTTGTCTTCTTCAAAGAGTGACCATAACATGGCAAGGTTAATAGCCACCTCTTGACAAGAAGTTTGTGGTGTGAGGATCCATAGGAGAATTAGGGGGGAAAGAAAAACATCAGGAAGAACCACTTCTAGTAAAAAGGAATGCTTTACACGTGATAAAAATTCACGTGCTTTTTTTCTTTACACTTATTTTATTTAACTTTATTTATTTACTTTAATTTGACCAGGAAGGGACAGAGAGAGGGAAAGTGAGAAGCCAAGCCACCAGGTCCCATATTTGAACCAGAGGTTGACCATGTGAGAGCCCAGCACCCTTAACCGCCGTGCCACCTGCCAGGCCCTCACAGGTTTTTTTTTTTTGTTTTTTTTTCTTTTTTCTGGGAAATGGGAGGGAAAGTGAGAAAACACTCCCCAGGGTGGATGGCCATACCAAATCCCTTCTCCTATAGTCTCTTGGGATTTTGGCCACTCACTCATACCTGGCTTTTTTTTTTTTTTTTAAAGCTTTTGATAGTTTTGCCATAGGGCACTTGGGTAGAGAGACAGAGAGAGAGGGAAAGTGAGAAATCCCCCTCCAGGCAGACGGCCATGCCATAATCCCTTCTCCATTCTTCTCTTGGGATTTTGAGCATGTACACACAGGCACCTGGCATGATTTTCAAGGCCTGGGTCCTGGACTCAAAACAGTTGGCTGTATGGGAGTCCTGTATGGGAGTCCAGTCCATACCACCTGCTGGCCTACCTGGCATGTTTTTAAGCCTGCTGGTCAGGACTTGAACAACTTGATGGGCCATCAGCTGGCCCCTCAACTTTTTTCTTTTTTTTTTCAAGTGAACCTCTTAGGTGTTTCTGTTGATAAGGCACAATAAAAATAAAGTTATTTAGTCAGCTCTATAATTCCTCATTCTGTTCACTTGGATTAAATTTGACAGAGAATATAGTTTTCGGGAACACATATATCATTCCTTTTTGATGCACAATATATAAATATTCCAGTGTGTGAAGGTATATTTAGTGTGGCTTTATGAACCTAGAGTATACACAGCAATAGTTAAACATTGTTATCTGAAGAATTTCTTGGGACTAAGTTTGTTACATTAGCTCTTAGAGCTTTGTTACTGTTTTGGTTTATTATTATAGACAAAAGTAGTTCTTACCTAGAAAGGTCTGAAAATACATTGGAAACAGTGGTTGGTGTTTAGGTCAGGATTGCAGTTAGATGGCTTAATACTGATGAAATTGTAGCCATTTTCATCTAAATAGCAAGCAAGAAATGCTGTCAGGTAGAATTTTATTTTGAAATGGTGATTAAATGCTAGAAACCCATTCTTGGGATTGTACTATGAGACATTTTGAACTTGGTGAGTCATGTTGTGTGTCTTGGATGATTTTTTTCCTCCTAAATCATGTTAAGGTGACTTGTTTATAGTTGGGTTTGTTGTTTTTGAAGCTTTGTGTATTGCATAAATTAGCACTAAATAATGCCAAACTGTTGTGATAGCCAAGTAGTGATCATATTTAGTACTTCATAGAAGATTGGAAAGTAATAATAAAAATCTAGTTTCTCACTCTGCAACTGTGGAAAAATTACTTAATCATGTGTTTCAGTATTTTTTAGTGAAGTGATGGCTTTTGGACTAAATCATTTTCAGAACCATTCCTACTCTGGGCTGGTGTTTGGTCTTTTTTTTTCTCTCTCTCTCTTTTTCAATCCTGTTGAACTTCACTTAAGCCAGTGTGAATCTTTCAACTAGGACTGTTTAAGTTTGTAAAATACTGGAAATAGTTGCACAGATCAAGTACATTTTTAAAGATAATGTAAATATCATTGAGAAGCACTGGGTGTATCCCCACCAGAAGCATGCACCCTAATAGTCTGGGCATCACAGGTGTGTTTTGAACCTCGTTCTGGTTTGGGAGGTACTCAGGCTCTACGTTTGGAGCCCCCTTTTTGACGTTTTACCTAATTTTAGTAGTTTCAATTCATTTTGAGGTTTGCAGGTCTGTTTAGCATCTCCGAAGAAAGATAAACGTATGTCTATGTTTTCTAAGATATTGACTTTGTAATAGAATACAAGCTCCCTTTTACAGGAAGTTTAAAGTATTAGACATGCTTGTTCAAGAGATCCTGTGACATCATACATCACAGCACCTTTTCAAGAAGGGAGGAAACAAATTAGAGAAGTTGAGCAAACAATTTAGAGAAAGTAGGAACAAATTAGTGATTTTGGAAAAGGGCAGTAAAGACAGCTGGCTGATGGACACTGTAAGTGGAAGATATTGATTGGTAGGTAATTTGCATGGCTTCTGTAGCAAAAGTAGGGGAAGGAAGAAATGTAACTCGCTTTTCTCCTCTTGTCCTTCTGGACCTTTCAAGAGAGCAACGAGGTCTGGCATAGCTCAGTTTATCTATACCTGGCCTTGTCACTGGCATCATCTTTGTCTTATTAACTTTCCCTTAGCTTTAGGAAACCAAAAGTTTATACTACTGGTGATTTTTCTAACTTAAATGTAGTGGTGAAGTGTTTGCTAAAAGTAAAATTTTAAACACAAACTGAAAACTTAAAAGCAACTGAAATCTTCAATAGATTAAAACCCCACTGATTATATATATATGTGTGTGTGTGTATATACTGATTATATATATGTGTGTGAGTACATATAATTTAATTTTTTTCTTTAACATTTCATTGATAATATAATCCATGAAAACTAATCAGGGCTCTGTAATACACTGAAAAATCACTGGGCTAGATGGGTCTTTAAACCGTTCTTGATGAATAGAAGGGAAAAAGGCTGAGATTAAGTGGATCGGCATCTATTTCCTGCAAGCTTACCCCTTCCATGATTCTTTTCTTCCTTTCATAGAATTTCGATTTTAGTAAAGTATGTGGATTTGATATAATAAATAGCAAGCAAATTTAGATCCCTTGTTTGTTATAGTGACAGTTTAAGTTATATTCTATATTGCTTTATAATTAAACGATTATTACATTTTGGGATCATTTTATTTGCTAATTAAACTGACTTTTTAGGGGAACCAGCAGTTAGCGTAATGGCTATGTCGCTGGACTCCCACGTGGTCGACCGCGGTTCGTGTCCCGGACCTGGTGGCTTGAAACTCACACCGGGCGCATATGCGTGCGTGCCCAAGATCCCAAGAGGAAAATGGAGGAGAAGGGATTGTGGTGTGACCATCCCCCCTGGGGGGTGATTTCTCACTTTCTGTCTCTATGTCTCTGTCTGTC